CTCTCTCTCTCTCTCTCTCTCTCATTCTCTCACAAACAAACCACGACCAATGTACAATGAATGATGAACGATGAACGTTGACTCCTGCAACCAGGGTGTCCTTTTATCTCCAGAAGACGACACTAACGAGCCCCAGCTGCATTGTTAATCTTGCATCCCGACTCAACTCACACCAAACTTCTGCTGAGTCACAACACCTACATCCTGTTTTTGTTTTGCTTTTTGAAGGAGAGAGCCTAGAACAAACGCAGGCAATTTCTAGTTTGAGTCTCAATAGTATCATCGAAAGTAAAATAACCAAACTTTCATCCTTGAAGAGAGATCAATTCTAGCCAAATGTCTTCATTCAGCATTGAAAGATTCATTTTTGGAACCCTTTTTATTTCTGTGGATTTTTTAGGTTTGCTCAGCCGGTCTTTTTTCTCTGTCCTCGTATTGTAGCCAATAGATTAAAGTTCACATCTTTCTGAAACAAAATCACAATATTGTGCTTTTATCTGTACTTGGATCCAGTATTTTGTGCCCTGTGGATTTTAAATCCCTTCCATTGTTATATTTTTCTACATTCAATATCTCATCTGTCTGTGTTTGTGTTTTTTCCAGTGCCAAAGCTTTTATAGCATTATATTCATTGCTTTGAAGTAGAATCTATTTGATATAACCTAAATGTCAATATTGCCCTACCTCAATGTCTTTCTGATTCAGTCAACGTATAAGTTACTACGTCTTTTAGCCATTCCTCTTTCTGGCAGACAAGGGATTTGATTATGATGTTGTTAAAAAGCTTTTCATTTTTCTTTCTGTAAATTGACCTCCACTGTCTGTTCTCGTGGGGAAGCTTGCACGGAAACAAATTATTTGCTCTGATTTCGCCATTATGAGTACCGGTTCCCAGATGTTTCGGTACCCTGGGGATTTATATGCATCGTTATGCTTACATGCAAAAGAATTCTTAGCTCTCTTTGGATTTCCTTTGGACAAGGAGCTGCATTTTGCTCGAACTGCGATCCGGCATTCGCATCTAATCATTGCAGAGCATGAGGTCATCTTAAAAGGTCTCCAGTTTAGCCACTGTAATTCCAGTTTGCCTTGGGGAAGCCTACGTCCTCAATGGTGATGCAGAATATGAATGCAATCTCTGTGTTGCTCGCTTGTAGAGATAGTACACTTTTCTTTTATTGCTTTGGCAATCGCTTCTGACCCTTTCTGAATAGCATATTCATTGTCTTGAAATATAATTGTAAATCCCTTTTCTGTTAAATGTCTCATTGACCAACATCCTCCAGCCAAACCTGGGACACTGAAGACATTATATGTGTCTATATTTTAAGAGTGTTGTACTGCATTCAAAATATCTGCTCTTCATCCACATTTAACTTTAATTCTTTATTGGTAATACTTGCTTCTTTAGCAAGACAAACCTCTCCTTCATCATTAGAGTCTAAATTAGTATACCAGCGAAATGTTGTGGACATAGTATACTTAGAGTTCAGTAAGCCATTTGACAAAGTGGGCCACAATCTACTTCTTGGTAAGCTAGAAAACGGTGGGATAGATAGCATCACCACCATATGGATTTGTAACTGGCTGACAAATCATATTCAACAGGTAGTCCTTGGTGGAACCACGTCTATATGGAGGACAGTAAGCAGTTGGGTACCACAAGGTTCCGTCTTAGACCTGGTACTCTTCAATATCGTCAGGACTTAGGTGATGGAACGGAAGGGAAGCTTATTAAATTTGCAGATGATAGCAATAGCAATAGCAGTTAGACTTATATACCGCTTCCTAGGGCTTTCAGCCCTCTCTAAGCGGTTTACNGCCAGGAGGAGGAGGAGGAGGAGAGGAGGAGGGAGGAGATGCAGCTGCAGATAAGACGGTTCCCCTGGGGTCGAGGGAGGGGCGTCAGCTTCCCTTCTGGAGCCAGGCCAGGAGGAGGAGGAGGAGGAGAGGAGGAGGGAGGAGATGCAGCTGCAGATAAGACGGTTCCCCTGGGGTCGAGGGAGGGGCGTCAGCTTCCCTTCTGGAGCCAGGCCAGGGGGAGGAGGAGGAGGACAACCGGCTCCCTCGGACTCTTTCATTTCAGCTCCAAGTCCCAGGAAACCTCCTGGATGGAATGCCATGAGGAAGAATGGAAACGGGTGTGCCCTGCCCCCTGGGGGGAGTGGAAGCATGCAGGCAAAGCCTTCCCCACCCTCCCTCCCTCCCGGCCTACCTTGATGGCCAAGATGTGAGTCCCGGCTTTGACCAGCTGCTCCGCAAGGCTAAGGTAGTAATCCAAGGTGTACTTGGTCCGGCTGGGGTCAGCCACATCCCCCGTGTAGGAGATCGCAGCCTCCACCACGCCCCCAGCCTGTCCAGCTGCCTCCATCCCCAGCAGCATGTTAGGGAGGTAATTGAGGGAGTCAAAGACACGGAAGATGTCCATCCCATTCTCTCTGGCCATCTCGCAGAACCTGCCATGGGGACGGAGAGGAGTCCTGAGTCAAGGCCAGGCTCTGCTTCACGGCCTGCCTGGGAGGGAGGGAGGGAGGGAGGGAGGGAGCAGGCTAGCCAAAAGCAGATAAAACTCTAGCAAGGATGTCGGCTTAGTGTGGAAAGCCACAATTGGGCTTTTCCTCCAAGGTGACTGAGCTTCCAGGAGGGACCAAAGGAACGTAAAGGATTCAAACAAGGAAAAACAAAAGCTTCTTGAGCATAAAATGCATAACTGCCCAAATAAACCTCAGAAAGGCAGGACCGGTTCTGAGAAAGACCAGAAGACCGGAAGGCGAAGCTGCCCACCACTTACTTGAAGACAGAGTTATCTGGGTAATTGGTGTAGCCCACCGCATTCGCCCCCCTCAGCAGCATCTGGAATGGGACATTGGGGATGAGCTCTCGCAGCTCCTGCAGCCGCTGCCAGGGGCACTCGTACAGGAAGCGCATGGCAACATCGAAGGTGGCACCTGGAAGGGAGGGAGAGAAGGGTCAGCGAGGGGTCTCCTGCACTCACCTGAAGCCCTGGGGTTCCTTGGGAGCTTCCTCTCAGCCCCTTGACTGTCAGAAAGAAAAATACATCAGGGGACCCAGAGCGTGTTTTCTTCCCCAAAGGGCTCTCGGCTGGCACAGCAGCAAGTCTGAGGAGGAGGGGTCCTTGGTCAAGTGGTCTGGCTCTGGCCTCAGTTGGAGCCATGGAGCCAAGTTCAACTCCTTTGTTCACCGCCATCTTCACAGCAATATCCCTGCTTACGGCCCTTAATTCCATGAGTTCTATACGCCAGAGAGACTCAGGCCTGTGGGAGCCAAACCTGTGGCCAAATTCAAGAGTCAACAGGCCACTCATTTCAAAACTGCCTCTGCTCAAGTGTTTCAGATATATCACAGACCTGGGAAAGGAATCAG